TGGAGTTACATTAAACATCTGGTGCATAAAAGATGGCTTTGATCACTTTACTTTACGAAGACGTGTCTTCTCACGACCCTGTAAATTTCATAGGTATTGGCCGATCTGTTCTGCAGAGAAAATCGGATTGTATGCGGAACCTTGCACAAAACTGGGACATGCTGCGGAGCCCTCCAGAGCGCACTGGAACAACCGTTTCCATTTATGCTTTTCCGTGCGCTCACCCTAAATCAGCGTCAACTTGTGACAGGATCTCGGATAATGGATCTGAGTTTGATAGCGTCAGCTAAATTGGAGGCGAGTAAACAATGTCATCCAGCAACAGGTTTCGCACGAAGGGACCTTTTCAAGTTGTCGATGAGAGTCAGCCATGGTCCGACGGTCTTCGTCCCCTTACACCGCGTACGCATGCTACTTCGTTTGAATTTCCATGTGCAAGTACGAAATGTTGTCAGAAAGAGATGCAATAACTCGCTGGTTAGAAGGATGATGTGTGAAATGAAGTTACTGTCACGTCAGAAGAGACTCCGAAGTCTAAAATTGTTTTTGTTCCAGGGACAACCAAGTGGCTGCACATCGGTTTCTTCGGCGTGGTCTAGACTTCGAACTTTTCTACCTCCCTTACAACGGGACGCAGGGAGGTCATCGATTAGCCCGGTCTAAACAGACCAGATGATCGAATGCTCTAGAACATCTTTCAGCAATCAGATTACCAACAAATTTGATAAGCTAGCGGCATGACTGACACAATCCAGCTCCTTTGGGCATGGAGTTTTGACTGCCAATCCTTGAGAAAACGCACGTTTACGCCTATCTTCATGTTTGAACTAGCCCCAAGGCTCTTTTGCGGTGATTGTCTCTATTATACATAAGCTTAAGATACAGGGCAAAATTTGTTGCGTCTTTCGCACCTGCGGTAAGCAAGCAATGATGGGGGTGATAGCCAGACAAACCGCCTTTATCTTAGGCGCTAAACATATCGTTCCCAGTTTGGTGATTCTGATTAGTCAGTTTGGAACTTGTCATTTGTATTTTACCTGCTTCCTGCGGCTTCACTCTCCGTTGCCATTCTCGGGTATGCAGTATTTCATCTGCCTTGAGGAAAATTGGAATTGTTCAAAAACTGTGGGCGTTCTGCAAATGTACGGCACCAGAAGTTTTTTCTCTCAAACTGTTACACTTTCTACAGCTGTCCCGCTCCTCTCAATCCGCCAAATATTCATTGTTGGCGATTTTGGTACTGTGAGAATAGTATTCAACCAAGGTTCCGAGGTCATCAGACTACGAAACCCTGATGCGATCGAGCACGCGTATGATACTCATTCAGTGGATGGCAGAAGTACCTTTAATTATGAGGGCAGGTGTGATTGGCCGAGCTAAACTTCCCACAAATTACGACACTCATTGGTGGCGCCATCAACTGCCACTTTGCTCGGCAAAGTAAGAGCCGCCCATCATATTTCCACAATAAGACAATATTTTGTGCTACTGACGTCGTTTTGTACTCCTTAAGCGGAATAATTGCGTGATGCTGACTACACTCAGGTTGCAACTTGGACCGTCGATCTGCGCAGCGTGTCGTCCGCCATTGCGGTAGATTCGGGAGGTGTCAACGACCTCAAACACAGTCTGCGCGGACGCTCGAGAGGGCAGCGGTTGCGCAGTATCGCATGACCCACGGCGACACACACATATTCTGGCGGAGGATTCCAAATGAATTTTCAGCTGCTTTCTATCATACAAAAAGTAAATAATTGTCCGGAATTCCATATAATCAGAACGCCTTTGCTGTCCGTTTGCTTGCTGAGCTGGGAACTTGGGTTGCAAACGTTTCATCGTCAATCTGAGCGACCCCATCAGTGCGTTGTCAGGATGTGTAGTGAAGCCCAACAATAGATCGGTGTGTGTGCGCAACACTCTCCACTGTGTGCTCTAAAAGAGCACTGATTATATCGACTCTATTGGCGGTAAAATGTTCACACCTAAATTGCCAAGCTCACCGAACAAACCAACGACCACTATACAGACTTGGACCGTCGATCTGCGCAGCGTGTCGTCCGCCATTGCGGTAGATTCGGGAGGTGTCAACGACCTCAAACACAGTCTGCGCGGACGCTCGAGAGGGCAGCGGTTGCGCAGTATCGCATGACCCACGGCGACACACACATATTCTGGCGGAGGATTCCAAATGAATTTTCAGCTGCTTTCTATCATACAAAAAGTAAATAATTGTCCGGAATTCCATATAATCAGAACGCCTTTGCTGTCCGTTTGCTTGCTGAGCTGGGAACTTGGGTTGCAAACGTTTCATCGTCAATCTGAGCGACCCCATCAGTGCGTTGTCAGGATGTGTAGTGAAGCCCAACAATAGATCGGTGTGTGTGCGCAACACTCTCCACTGTGTGCTCTAAAAGAGCACTGATTATATCGACTCTATTGGCGGTAAAATGTTCACACCTAAATTGCCAAGCTCACCGAACAAACCAACGACCATCTATACAGACTGAGCAAACAGCTCTTTCTCGATGAGAACACCGTGACTCCCATTCACATTTGATTTGAACTTTGGAACGGATGGTTCTGTTTCGACATTTTTCTCTATAATCCCGTTTCTCATTGCCTTGAGCAATCCGATCTTCAGGTTGGAGCTGCCCGAAGCATGTAGTATGAACTTACGTGAAAACCATTACAGCCCATCCAATAACCTGGACAGCAATCCTGGCGACTTCATTCGCCGCAGGTGTGCCCACAAAGTAATCAGCAACTCACGGTGCGAGGAATGTTCTGAGTGGTTTCGTGTGAATTACACTGGCTTCTCTGCTAAACGAAGTGCTACAATTCCGGGATCACACCGCTGATACTAATGCACCTTATGCACTCTTGCGGCCTCTTCATGAATACATCGCGAACCCGTGAACATTGCAGCGGTTCACCGACTCAGGCAATCTGGCGAGGCCCGTCGTTTTTGCTTCTGGCGTAGATTTGAGCACCTGACCTGCTGCTTAAAACCAGAGTTTCGCTTCAGAACACCAGAGTATTTGTCGCAACCCTGTCGAACAAATTAGCCTCTTAACTCTGACACTCGGCTTCCGAACAGGAGTCCCCGTGGCGCCACTTCAGTAGTACCTTTGACTTCTGGACTGTTCTTAATTCTTTTCACAATAATATCCTTTCTTTTTTGCCCTGAATCCATCCTAGTTAGGCTCCTGGATTTGTGGCGCGATGGCCAGCTTTTCTGCGCCATACCCCGGAGCCCAAACTCTTTCTCCATCATCTTAAATCCATTGAAACGATGTCCCTCGCGTGATGTGTGCAACTACTTTGGATTCGCTGATTCCTGACCTCATCGTGTACTCATTTAGAGAGATTTGTCTGTGAGCCATTCTGTTCACCTTCCGTACGTTGTGTATTGAGTTTTTGCCTCTCCATTGACCTCTTAGCTCAATACGTCGTTTTATCCGACGGCACATGCAAACATAATTCAGGTCCGATGAACCCAGACTGCTCACCGTTCATGTGGCTAAAGATGCCTACATCCTAACCACCGTCTGGTTTGACTAACATTCACTGTGGCCACACTGTCCATAATATTTCGCCAGCAGACCAATCAACCAGGCTGATAACCGTTTCATTTCAGCACGCCTGACGTCAGTTAATAACTTGCTTTCATCCCAAGAAACCTTCCTGTGAGTCCCCAGTGCCGTTGAGAATGAAGGGCATGAAGCCATTAGGAAATTCTCTCAATCCAACGGACTCTGTCCGCCGTTATTGCCCACCTCAGCTGCTTGACGTTGGCCCTTAGCTTGAACACCGGGCAGCGCACACACGTAGCCTTTCACGGTGTCCGGGACAGCCGAGGTCTGGTTACATCCGTGCTCAACACACTCAATAAAATATAGAGTGTTGATGACTGCATGGCCAATTACTTAATTGCACTAAATGGCTTCAAGCGTGATGGCCGTCACAAGGTCAGCACAGAACCGAATTTCTACAATTCCAATCTGCGAAACCTAAACTAATTAAGAGGGCGGTTTCTGACCGCTTTTTATTTCCGGCTCACCGGGCAGTCGTGTTGGCCATGACATCCCTCATTATTACCTCAGCAAGGATCTATCCTCACTCCTGAGAAGAAGTCTTCTACTTTAACTAGGCGCCCCTCATAATCTCACTAAACTTTGCCGGCCCATGCGTATGACATCAAAATAAGGAGCTCATTTGACCTACCGGGTTGTCATAATGAATCATAGTGAGTCCGAGATTGATCTTCTCTTTAAGTATGTGCCGAAAAATAAGTCCCGTTATGACTCCCAGAACTGAAGGGCCCTTAGAAGGACCCCTCAGTAGGCATGCGCCCATCAAGTGGGAAGCGACTGGTAGACCACTACCGCAAGCACTCCCTAGCGGTGTTCATTTCAAGTGAGTAAACTCGGCCAGCAATAAAGGGCTAATGATCAAAAAGGGTCCCTCCGATCAACGTTTCAGATCCAAAAACCTGGGCTAATCCAAACCCACGGCTATCATTTAGTTTAATTAAGGAGAATTGGACCAGCGCTAACAAATAGGCATTCAAGCTGGACTTCCATACTTAAAAAGGATAGTCAAATGCTTGATTCTGTGTGACGAATGGCTACCCGAACAATTGGGGCGAAAGAAACACGTCTTATTGAAAAACACCTAAACAGCTTAACCCTTGTAAGTCAAAGGCTTCCAAAGTACCCTATCACCTCTCACGAGTTCACTTGTACCTCCCGACAACCTGGCAGACAATAACTCAGCCGTAGAAACAGGCATACTGAATGGGATAATCTCTCACTCCAAATCACCAGCTCATTCTGCCAATATGGAGTGAAAAATCCCTCCCAGTGTACTATACTGGCCTAGGACGAGCGTGGGACTGAAGAGATGACTTCCTAGTTTTCAATGATCTATTTGCTCTGTAAGAAGACTGTGAAAACCTTGAAACGCGTGACCTAGTTTAACTATCAACCAATGAAAGGGCTAAAATTTCCCGAGGCATCTGTTCCAATGTTTTGGCTCGTGGCCGACCCTGCGTCGAACAGATTGCAGTCGGTATGCCCGTTGTGAGCACATGATAAATAGGTGATGGGTGGGACTACGGGGAAGCTGGCTCCTTCGAAGAATGGATCCGTACACCAGTCCAAAACTGTTTCGCATGGAACTTCAATGGATCTGTCAAACCATGGTCTCAACAGCATGGATCAAGGTAGCTTGAGCCTATTTGACCGAAACTACTTTATGTTGCGTACCACAGAGCGCGCCGACGACTCCGTAAGCCGTTTGAACGTTTCTGGCATCGTTCCTGTGGAAAAGGAGATAATGGTAGTCCTATATGATTTCACAGAATCCATGAAGTCTCAGATCACAATAAAACGAGGTTAGATTTTTATTTAAGTACCTTGATATTTCCTCCATGTGAGAGATTTTTTCAAACTTTCAGGATATCTGTTTCCTATTCACCGGTGACGGACTCTTTTTCGTCGTCTGACACTTCGCTGACCACGTCACATTAACACAGTTCAGATAGTCTGGTTGACACCTCCCTCTGGTCTCTAGGATACCAGCAGTGCTCCAACGCGTAGAGTTAGTGAGCGCACACTGAGCTTTCTGGGAGTGAGGTGACAGCTCGTTGTGTTAATGCACCTAATTGTACTTCAGTCCAAATATCCGTGGGTTTGAAGGTGGTTGGCGCTTTGTTGCACGGACTCTTGTGATGTTGATCCAGTCACATTATGGTGACTGGTTGGATATTTGCTGATTGCATGTTCTACTGAATTGCCTCCGACTTTGGGTTAGTGGTATACGTCAATCAATCAGGTTTTACAACCATAAGCAAGGACTGGGTGGATTGCCGATTTGGACACATGGACCTTTGCGCGCAAGCTATTTTTACTTCTCAATAGGGTATTGGTAACTTGTATATCAATACGAAGGTGATTTTTTCTTTAGCATCTGCTTTCTGTATGTTGAATGCAGTGATGTATTATATTCAGTGCCCGGTATAAAGCGTTAGCCGCTGAAATTAGTTTGTGCCTAGAATACTTAGTCTGCCTCGTATTGATCGCTAGTCTAATGAGACCGCTTAAAGATCACCAAACGGTGCCACATTTACACGTCCACGTACTATACTACTGGATTCAGCACGTCGCGTTTCGTGTAAATCTGACAACCGTTTTACGTTCATGGGTTAGCACGCCCCGAGACATTTTGGAGGCCGACTTGTCCTGACTCAAAATTACTTTAAAGAATAAGTATTCCATAATGTCCGCACGGGTCTCATTGTCGTACACGTGACCTGATTTCTCAACATCTTCACAGAGTGGCATCCAGCTCCGTTAATGTTTTCCGGGCCTGTTCGTTGTGAATATCTACTTAATTCCGTTTGACGGTCTGAGGCGTTGTACTTCTTATCGAAGTTGACATGATGTGATGCTACCCGTTGATGCCTAGAAAGTTGGACTGGAAGGCCACGGTAATAAAAGGCCTGATCTTGAGCACTTGCTTACAGGCGTACGAGTGTAACTTAGTTGCAGATGTGGTCAAGAGTAGGTTGAACCTTTTTCGAAGACGATGATACCATCAACTACGGCAGCGAAGCGTCGATGATGATATCGTCAACATAGGCAAAGTCTGCAGTGCACGCAGTTTGGTCTGGTTTTACCCACGTGGTTTTTTTCAAACACCGTAGTCCAAACAAAATCCATTTCCTCCTTCCAAAAGATCCAGACGATGGGTTTTGTGCATTATTAGCAATGTTGTGGGTAGCTCGGGCGAGCTGTTTGGTTGTTGGTCTGTTCGCCGAGCTTGGCAGTTGGATTGCAAACGTTTCATCACTAATCGAGGTGACATCGTCAGTGCAGGGTTGAGTGGGTCTTTATAAGTAAGCTTCGACTTGGCTGAGCTGCTTGGCAGCTGCGCTACCAAACGTTGGTAAGAAGAAAAAAGAAAGCGTTCAGCTGTAGCACCCTTTCGGTGCCTAGCTGCCGTGCCACCCGAAGGAAGCACGAGGGCTGGGATACTGCCAGGTTGCCCAAGCCTAGACAGGGGAAGGCGAGTGTCGGAGGGCGATTCGAACCAGGGGAAGTCGAGTGTCGGAGGTCGGATTCGAACCACGGACCTTCCGGTCAGTAAATTCGCGCTCCAACCACTTGGGCCATCTCGCCCCCCAAACGTTGGTGTACCTCAGCGATTATATATGCCGATTTAGTCAGATGTCAACACAAGTTACGATTAAATTTACACAGCAGGGATATATGATTAAAGCGGCCCGTTTATGAACTGATATCCTATAATTTGGTGTAATGTAGTTCTTCAGTGTGGCAAGTATGTTAATTACGTCCTATTTTTATGTTGACAACGTGGTGCATCACCTGTGTCTTACCGCGATCTTGAATAGATACTATTCCTGGCGAACACCAAACTAGCTTTTTTTATATTGGCCTAGCCTTATTCGTATGTTATATCCGTGGTGGGCCACTTTTTTGTCGCAGCTAAACGAACCATTAGCGTCGTCCTGGTTACAAGAAACGATTATAATCGATGTACGGCTTAACGCCTCTCTTACCTAGTTATATAAATCATCCCGACAGAAACGTCCGGTAAACACTTAAGGGCGTAGACGGTTATGCATCTGAGTGCCTTTGTAAACCTGCCGCAACAATCCTGGGGACACTGGTTTCCAAGAGAGTCAGGCGGTCAGTAGGGAATGGTGGATAAAGGAAAGATAATATGGACCCCAGTTGTCAATCGTGCTTCCGTGCTACTGTATCCCACTGAGGTGGTTGAAAAGCTGGTGTAAATGGGGAATCACACTGGCGACTAAAGTTGATTGAAGAATGAATTGGAAGAGGGTGAAAAGAACAATGCTTCCAGCTTTTAGAAGTGTCTTTCCAAGCCGTCCACCTCGACCAAATTGTTGTGTTGGGTGTGTTAGCGGAGTGATTCAGGAGCTTGATGCCATTTATTCTGTCACGTTGACTAGTTAGTTAATTGAGTGGGAAAACCTCAAGAAAGAAGACAAAGGACACCACATGAAGATAGGCTATATTGCAGATGAAACGATGGAAGAAAGAGTGCTGCGACTCAGTTGACTACAACAGAGAGAAAATAAAATCTCAGGGTAGTATTACCCGTTAGGACCTGACGGTCCTATCACAAATGAACACAATAATTCACCGAGATAAGCAGATCTTATCTATGTCACAAAGGCTGAACTGGTGGCCGCGGCAGTCTACGCACAGCCCTCAAGCCGGAAAACCGAAAGCCATAGAATTAACAACACTGATAGAATTTGAAGGCCTAGGATTTAAAGAGGGATTTCTCAGCACGGATAGGCGGCGTCCTATCCCAGCTGATTCGATCCACTGGCCAAAAATAGACCACCAGCGGAGCGACTTGCGAATAAGATGGAGTGGCTAATGACTTTCAGGTTCGTCGTCTTGAGCAGTGTACTGAACACCTTAACTTACAGTTTAGCAGTCCTATGTCAAGACAACTCATGGAAGAACCCAACGATCCTGAATATGATCTCGACACCAGCCCGCAATCAGCAACAGAAATTCAACTCCAACTGTCATTCGAACAACGTCACAAGGTTTTCGAAAGAGTTTGGTGACAATCAGTAGACTTATTTATTGTCACCGAACTTTTTCGAAACGATGACTAGTAGACTTATTTATTGTCACCGAACTTTTTCGAAAACGATGACTATCCAATCGGTTCCAAATATTTTTCACGCGATTGTACGTCACAAGGCATCCACCCCGAAAGGTTTGCACCTTATACTTTTCCCAGGTGATGGAGAGTTTCCAACCGCGCAAGCAGGATCACCTGGGCAGCAGACAGGAAGGCGTGAAGATCCCGCATTACTCATTACTTCATGTTGCCATTTTATGCCTTGTTCCCCGCGGATCTTTAGCCAGCGTTGAGTTGGAACGGTAAAGAATGCCATCGTGGATAGGCATTGGTTTGGTGATACGTACCACATGCTTCAACCATCTCAACCTGGTTACTGCTATAATGATTCGAATTTGTCTTCAATTACACGCTTACGCACCACCCCGCTGCGCACTCGCTGTAACCAGCTGACTTATGCTACAAGTCATCGGTGATCAAATTTTCAAAGATGCTTAAGGTTTCCGCGTCAGAGGGCCCAACCACTAAGTAAAGGTGCTCCTACAGTTACCTTTAATACACGTCTCTTTTGTCTTACTGACGTCATAAGTGATGTAAGTTGGCGAACAGTGATCGCGCCTTCGTTATGGGCACATTGACTTCGTCTGTAGTAGTATAACTGCGACTCATGCAGGTGCTTCGTTCCGCTGTTCAGTCCTGCTTCCCGGTACGCTTCTCAGGAGTTCGCAAGGTTCGCACACCTTGCCTAGCCATTGAGAATCTCTCCTGCCCTTATGTGAGAGTCGAGTAGTTCCAGGTCCATATTTGAAAGAAGACAGAATAGAATCAGACCATTAAATGTACGGCAGTGAAGCATCGGTGTTGAACACTGATGTCATGCTGTCGATGGTGACGATGATGATGAGACCCTTTAGATATGCAAACTATTTAAAAAACTGTTTAAAAGTAACAGTTTGGTATGCGCTTCATACCTGAGAAATGCAGTGTTACTGTACGATTGGGTGGGATCCGACCCAAATCTCCGTCACGAAGAGACTGGACCTTACCGTGGTATGACGGTTTGCGCATCTTAGCGGCCCACTGAGCTGCACTGGGGGTTGTCCCCGCGACACTCAGTCTCTCGTACCAAGTTGGTCTGTGATTAGAGGTCTGACGAACACAGTCTGCCGTTCCTCCACGTTGGGGGTTGGAACATGTGGCGAATTGTAATGCATTTGCATCTCCAGCCATATATCACTGCCTTGCAGTTAGGCTTTTGAGCCAAAGGCTCTGGTTGAGGACCCTAATCGTCCGACTGTCTAGGTGTGGGCGACCTGACTACCTCAACCCACGTACAACCACGATACCTACGTCTAACAATAAACTCATGCCATATCGGCCGTCGCGTGGTGCCACCAACTGGGTCGCCTTACTCGCTGCACACAGCGGGGCGGGTAAGCGAAAACGGGTCACTGCTGGCGCCTTCTTTCTCTTTCCCATACTTTTTATTTCCGCTCTCCCCACCCGATTAGTAACTCCCCTTGTAGGCGCAGCATTCCGTTCGTCTTGCAGTGGTTTTGCCTGCAGGATCTGCTCGTCTCGTGGCGCTGACATCCTCAATTACCTAAAAATCACTCTTCAAGCCTGGACGCCCAGTCTACCTGGCTACCTTCAATGTCCACAAGCAGGACAACAAGGTGCTCTTGCTCTCACGCTGGAATTGATTGAAATTGACCTGTGCTGTCTCAGAAACAACAATTCAAGATGCAAGCATGGTGGTTGAGCTGACTTCCCCATATTCTCCACTCGCTTCTGGTTACGCACCTCTGGTGATCCAGAGGCTACTGTGGCGGAAAGTGCTGGGGTTGGTGTCGTCCCAAGTCATCGGGCGGAAGAATCCTTGCTTGACTGGATACCTGTTGATAGAGGCGACCTCTGTGCGGTTCGTCTGGCAATGTCTCATAAGCTGGAATTTGATAGATGTCTGATTACCATGTTTGCTTACGCCCCAACTGACTGTAGTTCCGACGCCGTCTAAGATAGGTTTTACGACGTCCTGAGTGACCTTTTGCGGCAAGCCAAAAACGAAGATATCGTGGTGGTTGCCGGAGATCTGAATGCATAAATGGGCAAGCTTAGCGTATCTGAGACTCAGTTAGGGGGTCGACACGGACTGGACTTGATACTTATGGACAATGGTGAACTGTTACTTCAGCCTGTGCTGATCTCAGGCTGTTTTTATGCAGTACTAACTTCCGAGATAACCGAAGTCATCTGGCCACATGGTGTCCTTCAACGGCATGCCGGCCACAAGCTCAGATCAACCACATTCTTCGTATGCGCAGACCTTTGGACGTATGAGAGTATACGGCAAGCTCTTCAAAAGCTTCCGTACACGAAGCGGCGTTTATCAGCGATTCACACTCTCTCCATTTCTATTTAACTTCGTGATGGATGAACTCATTAGACGGGCGCCGGAATTCTCCGAAATTCCGGTGTTCGAATAGCCTGTGACGAAAACCTTGTCGACATGGAATATACAGACGACATTCTTCTCATCTTCGAAGAGGAGAAGGCTTAGGTATTTTTGGATGAACTGTCCAAAGTCATCCCGTCCTTTGGTATGCACTTTGTACCTTCAAAGTGTAAGGTCATGCTCGTGGACATGCCGTCACCGAACACGCCACTTATAATCCAGGGAGAGGCACTGAAAGTCGTGGAGCTTTTTACGTATTCTGGAAGTTGTATTAATTCTGATTGTAATGTGACAGATGAGGTCAATGCACGAATATTGAAGGTTCGCGTTTGCTAAATTAGAACACCTATGGCGTCAATGCGATATATCCCGGAATCTCAAGGGACGCGCGTATCGGGCTGTTTTGTTGTATGGTTGTGAGACTTGGACTGTTTGAGCAGCGAAACCGAGACGTCTTCAGATGCTCGACAATCGTTGCCTTAGACCCCTAGCTTGTGTGGGTTTTCTTCAGCAAATCCGTGACGAGGTAATTAGCGAGTTTTCGGTTGTGCAACGGGTACTACCATCGAAGAATGTATCCAGCACCAGAAGCTGCGTAGATCGAGACATGTGTTGCTTATGCCTAGCCATCGTTTGACGAATAGAGTGGTGTTTTCCATGCCCAACTCAGAGTGGCGGAAGCAAGGAGGTGGCCAAACTTTGACCTGGCAGAGGGGTATGAAGGAGAGTACGAAACGTTTGGGTGCTGTTGGTGCTACTTGTCTTCAGGCTGGGGACCGTATGATCCTCAATGCGCTTGGTTGGAGGCGCTTCAAGATATGGCTGCCAACCGATGTCAGTGGCGTTTTCGTTGTCAGTTTCTGTCCAGATAGCCTGAATGAGTGTCTGGAGGTGTAGACACCTGGAATGATCATAGTAAGCTAGCACTAAGTCCCTTCCCCGTCCATCTTTAAAACTTTCTTCACAATAAGGCTTTTAAGTGAACCCGTAGCGAAGCATCGGTGTTGAAAACTGGTGTGATAATGATGATGACGATGATGATGATGATGGTGATAAGACCTCATGTTTGCAGGTGAACCGACCAATGTGGCAGATTAGTTCATTTATCTGGGCGGCTTTATACCAGGAGACTTGTGAATTGCGCAATCACTTCCGGAATGAGGAAGGTTAGGGCTGTGTTTTCAACCTCCGACACTCGCGGCGCTGACGTGACAGCTTGACAATCAAGAGCAGAGTGTACAGTGCCGCAGTGCGATTTGTTTTGCTTTATTGATCAGAGACGTGGCAGCTGTGTGTGAAGGATCTTCGGTTACTTTCTATGTGACCGTCGTCGCCCCCGACCTTTGAGCGAGTGTGGTAGGAACCTTAGATCAGTAATGCTGAATTACGCCGAATGGTTTTCCGGAAAGTCCACTCCCTGGGTAATCAGCTAGTCATACTTCACATGTTGAGCCTTATAATTCGCATACCAGAGGACCGTTTGCCCCATAGAGCTGTCTGCGCCCAGCCTGGTATCGGATGGAGACCATTGAAAAGCGGTCAGTCCATGATTTGGCAGGGAAGCTTGAAAGTCTTTGTTCGTCAATTCCGTCGCGTTACTAACTACCGTCTCTCCGGATGGGGACTACCAGACAGGGCAAACAAGTGGTTATTGATCATGACAGGCATGGCTGTGTCACGCAGTCAATTCTGGTCTTACCTCAGAGTTAACTCCTCCACCGTGTAGTTCAATTTTTTCACACCGCACCAACAGATCCACACAGTACGCAGATTGGTCCGCCGCCCGAAACCCTTGGTTCTTATTCCCTCGTCTTCCTTTTTTTCGACAGACGAAGCTGTTGCAGCTTAAATCGATGCACTTTGGTGAACAGTTGAGGTGTCGAAAATTGAACTAGTGTTGATTATGCCTGATGTTATCCTCCATGGCTTTGGACTTCCTCACACTAATGTTGTCACTCGTAAGCAGATGATTGGTTCTCTATCTGGTTGGTGACTACTACCACGCAGACGTCCACAGTTTGTCCGACTTGAAGATGATTTTCCACAAACTATCATAAATGCCCTCTGTCCATTTCTCCTACCACGGACAAATGCGTAGGCCCTTGTTTTGAAATGAGAGCGAAAGCTCTATCCGTTTTCCTTTTCAACATCTAAGACGGAAGCCATCGTCGTCATGGACAGTAGTACTGGTACGTAATTACTGTACAACCATGGGTAAAGACACTAGTAAAGAGTCTAAAGAAAGATCAAGGGTGTGGATATAGTAAACAATGCGTTATGGGAAAACAGTCGTGAATCATGTGCCTGCATAGTTGAAAATCACTGGTATAAGCATACCTGAGCCTCATATACTAAAGCACTATTGGCAGCATTTGCCCAACACTCTTCATCCGACATAAGCCGGCTCACGTCTACAGTTGAACTTTTGTTGGGTGTTTCTGCTAGGGACTGATGAAATGTTCGCCACCGTGTCGGTTACATGCTACGTCCTGGTGGATTTCTAATAATTTACATAGAAAATACAATTAACCCCAACTCGAGAGACACAAAGATCCCACAGAACACAGCTTGACTCGAGCCGCTTTCAACTCGAGAAATCATGTCATAGTCCGTCCTCAAATATTTCACCAGTATGGGTGCAGAGTGAAAAACGATAATTCTTGTAGATTGTGATGGTGTGTGTGCAGCGCATGCATAGGCTAATAAGATTCGTAGCTTTACTGCATTCGCTGCTGTGTACACCTACATCATCTGTCGAAGTACAACCGTTTATGCGGCTGCCAAAATCATCACTCTGCTCAACAATCTCAAGCTGTTCACCGTGAAGCAAGTTTGAGGTTATAGCGCGAAACCATTGATCTCCTGACTCGAACCCAGTCCTGACTTCGATTTCTTCCGTCTAAGCCTGGATGATCTGGTGGTATCTCGGCGCTTCCTTTCAGTTGTCCAGCTGCTGTGTGTCGAAGGGGTGCCGCAGCTAAAGCATTGCTATTGTCGCACTGCATACTTCGCCGTGAAGTTTCAAAAAGGCACAACGGAAGTGAAACTCTGAAATAAGGTTCTTCATGAAGATGCAGAACTTATGCTGAAGTGGCGGACAGCTTCCAAAGTCCTCTTCACAGTCGACAGTGTGGATTGCTGGTTATCCAGTCAAAAGCTTTGTAGGGAATAAGGAATGATACGAGATTACATTTGAATGTGACCCAGTATTAGGCCAACTTTTGCGTTACGGCGACCTTGATCACTCGCTCACCGGATAAACCAAAGTAAGCTTTGTGAGTCCGTGTAGTTGGTTAATCCCTCAACGTTCATTTGTTATTTTGCCCTCGTTGCGATTAAAGGTATCTGGACACGACAATAATATCAGGACTCATGATCGACAAATATCCCCTCATTACTCAGTCGAAACATCTCCAGTCGCTGTTATGCTGCCTTCAGTTTTACATGGTGATAATGTCAGGTCAGATCACAGCTGCTGCGCCAAAATGTTTGGTTTGAAGGTCTTGGCGGCTGTCGTGACAAGAGGGATTTTGACACTCTAATACTGTTTGGACTATAAAAAATCGTTCAGCTGTAACACCCTCCGGTGCCTTAGCTGCCATGCCACCCGAAGGAAGCAAGAGGGCTTGGATACTGCCAGGTTGCCCAAGCCTAGACAGGGGAAGTCGAGAGGCAGAGGTCGGGTTCGAACCACGGACCCTCCGGTCAATAAATATGCGCTCTAACCATTTGGGCCATCTCGCCCCTATTGACGGCTATGTACTTAGTGTCGTTCGAATTGATCTTATGCCGTTGGACAGAGTACATGAATGTAAAGTAGTGAACACTGCGTTTGGAAGTTCACGGATTGACTGTCAGAAACTTGTCTTATGTCTTCCAGTATCAGTAGTTTGATGCAAGTAGTACCTTTTTCATGCTACCAGATCACTGTTATATCACACACTTAGACAGGTCGAATTCCTGTTGTCTACTTTTGTCGAACAGCAGTCTGAATTACTCTATATTCCACCCAGGCGACTAGCTACAGGTCAAGGGGCATGTAGGACTTTTATTTGGTTTTGATTAACAGGCGATCAACACAGTGCTCACCGTGTAGTCAGTAGGCTGTGCTTGTTGTGCTAGGCAAATGAGTTCGCCAATTACTCTTTCATGTTAGGTGTCGATAAGGGAAAAAGTGCTTGCACACTCACGTCAGCCCGAGCGCACGTGCTCAGGTGAAGGAGCTTTCTGGATGTGACGAATTCGTGAGTAAACGCACGCACCAGCTGTCACTAGTGAGGGAAACGAATGGAAAGGCTTTCATGATGGTGAGGGACTACCGTGCACTTCAAGCCGGACAGGTTAGAGCTGCAATAAAGCATGGCTCCCAAGTACGTCAGGATAATTTTAGTCATTGTGAATATAATCCAAGCGGACCCGTAATTTTTAGCATAGATTTGTGGTCCTGATTTTAATGTGTTGTGTGAAAGCGAGCACAGTTATAAGGGATGCTGAAGGCTTCGTTGGTAGCTTTTGGGTGACTTCCGTATTTCATACTGTCGGTATTAGCCCATGTGAGCATGTTTTCTGTCTTAAACTATGGACTTTTGGCCTTTCTTTCCATAATTGTTATCATTTCTCCTCTTCCAATCTCACTCACAGGTGAATTAGTGCGCCTGTTGAGCTACAGTCCCGCGGGAGATTGGTCTGAGGTTGAAACTTCCGGACTGGCTCATCCGGCGACTCATCCACTGTCTGACGTGGAGAACAATCATGCTACCGGGGCAAATCATTTTCCGTCTCACACCGGATCGGACAGTAGCTCTCACCGCGATGCACCGGGTGCTCAGAGTGCGACAAGTTCTGTCGGTGGAGGCAGCAATTCAGGAAGCCAGATCAAATACCGGCGTGGATGGGTCCCAACGAGCTATCTGGCTCCGGCTCACGTGCTGTTGTCTGATCCGGTACAAAACACACGTCATCTGATAGGCCAAACGTCGCATCAGATGCTTGTATCACCTGCGACTACTTTGTTTCAAGGACCTCACGCCGATGGTGTCGGCGATGCAATAGGGGATTCCCAACCAAACCTAGTTTCCAGACATCCCAAACACACTGTTTCAAGTGCAGGTCCTCAGACAGTTTTATCAGTAACATCTACCCTGGACAGCTCTCCGGTCGGTATTCATGGTCCAGGATTGTCTGCCTACCCCTGGTATCATGGTGCTGTGTCTCGGCAAGCCGGCGAGCAACTTCTCCGATTCGGTATTACAGGATCTTTTTTGGTCCGTGCTTCGGAATCTGCTCCCGGTCAACTCTCTGTCACTGTTCGGCACTTGGGACGAGTATATCATTATCGGATCAGCCAAGATGCGCGTGGCATGGTAGGTCACTGCAGCCCTTGCGTTTTTCCTGTGCATACCTCGGTTTTATCTGGTACGTAACCTTTTTCTCAGGGGCATCTGCAAGCCCATCACCATAAATCCGTTTGTCCACCTAATACTACTCACTCGTGGCCATGGTTCTGTGAGCGGATTATGTACGTTCGTGAGGCCAGTTTGCAAACACGACATTCAGTGACGACGGGTACACCAGTCTGTCGGATTGTGAGATGTCCATTGGTCCTTTTCGATAGACCCCACCAGGATCGTCTCGTAAGTAGTGTTATATCAAGAAAATATACTCTCTTGTGTCGAATATCGTACCAAACGAAAATAAGATGACTTTTGTGCAACACAGTCAGTTGAAGAATGTCAACTGGGGTCCACTTCAGTCTTCCGTTAAGACCAAATAATTTGCAAATGAATGCATCTTGCCTATCGCCCAGTTGTTCACGCGCTTCGTCTTAACCCCTTCCCGTGTCATAGTGATGACCATGTCGGCCATTAGCATGTTTATCGTTGTTTGGCTAAACACCACTAGCTGGTTCGTCTCCCATCCCCCGACTGCCCCGCTTCTGGCTGTCTCACACGAATGCGTCCATACTGATGTCTGCTGCTTCATGCCGACGTTGGCGCAGCTGTCGTGCACGCACGCGCACAAACCGGCGCATTTCACTCGCTGCCCGGGCGTTTTCGGCATTTAACAGAAATTGTGTCATGACCACCGCATGTATGGTAGTTGGTCCTCATGCAGATTTTGTTGTGTGCTCCAACCTGTGACACCAAGTGATGTCCTGTTGCCGATGCATGTTAATCGGTAGAACAGACGTCCCTCTGTGGAAACCGGCCTGCGCGTCTATTATCTCGTTGCTTACTGGTCGGTCAGTGTGTGTGTCCTGTAACCTCAAAACTTGTGTCCAGGGAATTGGATCGTTAACAACACTACAACCGCGACATCATTTTAGCGAGTGCTCGTAAAGTTCCTCCGGAGAGTGCGAATTACAGCAACTTCCTGTCGCATATTATGGGAGTGTTTTGCTGGCGACAATTGTGGTTATTATTCTGAGACTTCGTGTATGGTTATGCTTAATTTTTACCCTTTGCACATATGTGGCCTAGGTCTTCCTTGTGTTTGACTGTTTCCTTATCCAGCCTGCTAACCTCGTAAATATGTTCTTTTTGTATGTATTTTCCAGAAGGATTATGTACGTTGATTTGACGCATGTTTTCCGTAGACAGTATGGGAAGCGTTTCTTCTTTCTAACCCCTCATGGTTTCCCTGCAAAACCTCACCGTTACCTTTGGGGTTCACTAGACTAGTTAGTTTTCAGAAGGAAACACGTTTTGAATTTCGACTAGTAACCGTCGGCTAATGAGTTCCGCGCCCCGTGGTCATCCTCACTGGCTTTGTTTTAGAAGGTTCTACTTAATTCCCCTTAAACACGTTGTCTCGCGTGATAGGTGTGTCTGTCTTTTGTTGTCTTGTGATAGACAGCCTCGGAGTATATCTTTGTAATGTACTACCCATAAGGTTGCTGAAAATCCTTAGAAGTATGATAGACGATCGTCGGTATTCGGTTGCGTTAATGAACCATGACAAGGTTGTTTGTTTCGAGCAAAGCTTTTCTACTATCCTGGCCGGCACGATGAAAGCTTACTTTTGTGACCTTTTTAGATAATCAATCCAGAGGCTGATTACTCTCTGTTGGTAGGGCAGTTTACTTTCCAACACTCTTAATTTTCTGCAGACTGTGTCCTACGGTCAGTCGCTGATTAGAATCTTGTAATCCAAGCTATGAACGTGTTACCTTTGGAACTTTAAGAGTTAGTGGTTTATCAGATGGGAGAAGTTGGATTGTCTATAGGGCTAAGTTAATCAGGAGCTGAGCTTTCGCCTCCAACTAACTATCCCTTCTCATCAAAACACTCGTATTAATGAATGTCAGTAACCAGTATGCAATCACTTATCAAATAATGCAGTTGTACCCTCCCAATTCCGTCGTTATCGTAGGCCAAACTGTGGCAACTGGAACCACTCTGTAACTTATGCGCGCCTTTTGGGTGATAGCGAAATTACTAGCCGTCTTTGGTCTTGTAACTGGAAACCGCGTGGAATCGTTATTAGAATTTTTTGGTGTGGTAGTGATACTAGATAGTTTACTTCCGCATACTGAGCTTATCGCACTTTTGTACCGCTATGAACCAACAAGCAAGCCGCGATTCATTGCTTTCTACAATCTCAGTTCTCTGTCCCTCGTAACTCCGTTAGAATTGTCTCAGTCCTTAATTAATGCATGTTATACACTTTTCTGGACCATAACTATCTATTTGCAGATATGTTCGGATTCCGAAAAGCTCAGTCGGACTAGTGCTTTTGTCCTTATTGAAACTTGTTAGTCGCTCAAAGCGGGAATCAGACACATGATTATATAATTCGATTAACTTTCACATAACCGCTCATTCCCTTTGCTGCTCCAACCAATTTGAAATTCGGTAGCTGGAGCTTCCTTTATATCTTCAGTTGCTCGCTTAGTCTTACCATTATCGAGCCTCGCGTTTTGTCTGGTCCACAGGATCAGCTATGGAAACAGTTATGTTTTTGTCATTCCCACATCAACGCGCGTCCTTGTGATAAACATATACTGTGCACCGCGCGTCCACACGAAGTGTATCCACTCGAAATTTCCTGCTGAATTCGAGTAATACTGTTGTCTGTGGGATGTGAATAAGCCACCCAGGAATTGGGTTGTTATGCGCCCGTAAACTTTGTTTTCCAAAGTAAGTAGTCAACACCTCCCCACCTGGAGTTTTCAGGAGAATACACTTAACTGCAATGCATGGCAGTTGGTTGACTCGGACCGGACCCCTGCTGCGATATAGGAATAGTTAAGGACCACACCTGTGGGCACAGCCATAAGGATTTGATTAATTGCCGGATCAGTTTCCCTTAGTAAATTTCGTCGTCGCATCGATCTGGAGCCTTGCCATTATAAGTGTTTGCTAACCCCTGGTGTGGAACGTTCAGTTATTGAGCATTTTGTCAGTTCCATTTTCTGTAGACTCACTATAATCCGCACAAGTTACTGGCCGAGTGTCATGTGATGAATCCGTCTCCTTGCCAACATCATTAGTGATCGGAGCTCATGCCGAAATTCTGTGTTTCACTGCTGTGCAGTCGTGTGGGTTTGTTTTTGGGAAGCTGTGTTTTAAAATCAACACAGAAGGCGAACGCCTTAGCTAAGAACCTTGCGAAGTTCGGTGTAGGTATGCAGGCAACCACAGTGTTCTGTTCAAAGTGTTGTTTCTGGCCTAGACAGTAGTTGACCTGGTTCGCCAATGGTCCAACTAACCATTGGCGAATAGTCGGATTCCATCAAAAAATTCTGTTCATTTTTCCCTGATGGGTCGCATCGAGATTAAAAAGCTTCGTGTGGATGCGTTTTTCTGGAACCGATTAAATACTGTGTTGGGCTCACACGGCTGTATGTAAGTCACGCGGTTGCTTTCTAATCCCTGCTTTGTGGCTGCTGATCAACGTATACCTTCCACTGATATACCCATCAACTAGTTGTCTTTTTCTTGCTGGATTGTCTGATTGTCTCTTTTGTCCAACGATAATGCCACCCGGACACTGACATCCACTATCGGTTTTTGTGCTGATTCACTCGCTACCAGCTTGTCTACGAGCCGTTTCCCAGTAGATGATGTCTTTCAGATCGCTACTCAGCTCCCGCTCTGGTAGACATAGCATGAAGCTAACCCGCTGTTTATACGCTAGTGCAGATCTTCGATGTGTCCCATCCCTACAGAATGAACGGAAACTAATCCTGTATATAGTGCGATGTCATTTAGAAATTCCAGTATAGGAACAAGTCGCACACGGAACAAAACTAGAGAAGCACACGATGGGTATAGCACCGTCGACTTTGTATCACAATGGAACCTACCTTTGATATGCTTCATCTGGGTGTTTTTTCTAACCTATTGCAGTCTGCTTTCGTACCACACCACGTTCTGTTTGTCTTTGGTTTCGGAGTGTGACTAGGTGAGAGAGGTTCTTAAGTATACATGAAATCGAGGTCCAGCAATTTTGGATATGACCAGCCGAGCCTGTTTACGCACATCCCCATGAACACTAGGCCTGATCGGCGGTCCATGTCGTCAGCTATTTCCATCGTACTCATCGTGCCACGCTCATTTTCCTCGTCATTTGAATTGTTTTTCTTCTCTTACATAGAATTTGTGTACACGTGCAGAACTCTTAGATGAAACAATTTGTATGTTGCTATCTCGGGATCCATCGTTTGTCACACTGTTCTCTATTTTCCACCTATCTTGTTTAGTTTTACATCACCAATGTTCATCGATTTCCCACCGTGGTCCAGTTGATCGACCACCATTCACGTTCCGCCGATGGCTTGGTCTGTCCCCTGCTGTACCCGGTTCCCAAAACTCCCACTTCAACTCAGGCTCCCTACTCCTCCATCCTTGCTCACCCGTTCGTTCCTTTACTCCCACTGCCACCCAATTCTGGGCTGCACCCAACTCACGCTAGTCCCAATGCCTCTAACATCTTGGGCGAGGCGTTGACCGAATCAGCACTTCGTCACGCACCACTTCATCTGCAACGTGGTCGGGGCACTGTGATACCGGAATCAGGTCTGGTTAACCACCCAGGCGTACCTGCTCCGCAGGGAACGCTTGCGGCGAATGCTTTCACAGACGACGCATCATCAAATCGGATGTTAGCCCTGGACGAATGGGAGATCAATCGAGCTGAGATTGTCATGCGGCAGAAACTGGGTAAGTGTGCCACTCTCTGCCTCATCCGCAGTTCCGTACCGCACTTCACCGACTTTTGGCAGGCATCACTTATCTTGTTTGCTGTGCCAATTTATCCACTTTGTGTGTGCAGTATTGTGTTCCTAAAACGAACGCTGTGTACTTTTTTTTTTGGGGGGGGGGGGGTAATTTTAGGGTGAATAAATTTAAGCCCGTTTGATAGGCTTCGTAAAAGATAGGAAGGCATTTCGGAAGGTTTATACTCCTCCGGACTACAGGTGAGCTTTTTCTCATTCATGACTAGTCAGTTTTTCATTTGGGTCGAGCGTTATGTTTTATCCATGTTCGTACCTATGTATATCACACCTGTGAAAGTTGCGCAGTACCTGAACCCGCGATAGATAAATCACGATGTACCGTCTAGCCTCACTGATAGTGGAGTATATCCGTTACCACTTTCACTGTTTCGGTGGTAACAACTACTCAGTTGTTGTGGTTTTTGAATGCGTAGCGGCCATCAGCTTGTAGGGAACTGGAATTCTGCAGGTAACCCTGGTCCAGACAAGGCTAACCGAGTCTTGTGGCCAGGAGCTCGAAGTTTATGTACTGTACGGCGGCTGTCGTGGTGATGCCGCCCCATGGAGTTTCATGAAAATGCGTCACAGGTGTAACATTTTGCAACTCCAACGGGCGTGTCAGCTTTTGCATCACTGGGTGAAATTCGTGAGGATATAGGAGTACAGTGTGCGGAAGAATGCTCCACCCTATCCCAACAGTTTAGCTATTAACTTTTGTCCGTGATTGAGTATCCCCCATCGAATCGATGTGAACATCTACCGGTTGTTCTAGGTGAGTGTTGGGTATCAGGTGGAACTGAAGACAAAAGGTCACTTTATAAGAGCTTAATGTGCCCTCCACCCCAAGTCAGTGTATTGGTCTTAGGACGTGTATAAAACACGTCACGTTTTCTCAGCAATGGTTTTTATCCCTTCTCTTTGACTCACTATCAGTCTCAAGTCTATTTTTCGTATGCACTGGACTGGGAGAGCGTTTCTCCATCCACATAGTTGATTTCTTACCGACCACCGCCTTGCTAGTCTCGTATGACAAAGAAACTGTTTCTGTGCTGTTACTGGTTAAAATACACTCCGTGTCACTGCTTTTGCTTTGCCTTTCACGTTTCCTTTTGCGTTAAACTGTTGCTTCTTTAACTCTACCATGCAGCAGATTTCGATGCGTAACTTTGTTTTTTATTTATTTTTCTCTGGTTTAGGCTGTGGCCAGTACGGTGATGTGTACGAGGCTATATGGAAGCGACTGAATGTCGTAGTCGCAGTTAAAACTCTCAAGGTGGGTGCGAAACTTCTGTTGTCTCGTGCGTCTCCGGTTTTTCTATTTTGCTTTACCTTCCGAATGATCTGTCATCTCCTGTTATGCGAGCGGTATTTTATTGGTTTCTGAGTTTTGGTCGAAAACTGAGTGGACTCACGTTGCAAGTAGAAGGGCTGTCTACTCATTTGTGGATAAAATTACAGGTATACAACATATCAAGACGATAACCGATAGGCAGTATGAAGGTACACCCATAGAGGGATGATCCTAATAAAATGTTCGGCTTTGTTGCATCGGCAGCTACTCCGCGTCGGATACCAAGCGGAGACCAAATTGGATCGAACCGCTCAAGGAGGCAGTTCACTTAATAACTTTACCTTCTGCTTTTGTACGGCAGTGAAGCATCGGTGTTGAACACTGATATGCTGTCGACGATGATGATGATGACCTGCTTTGCCCAGGAGATTTTGTTTGGTAACCAACATTCTTTACGACCGTTATACTTAAGGCTTGCGGACATGTCAAAATCGTTCATCTGTAGAAACTTTTCGTTACCTAACTGCCATGCCACCAAAAAGGAGCACCACAACCACCAGTCATTTCTTTAGTTAGAAGCATATCCGAAGCATATCCGGTTGTAGGATATGACAAGCCACTCGCTGAGAACTGAAAGGCTGATCACTGTTTCCACTAGTGAAAGGATGAAGGCCTTCGCTGCGAAGTTTACTAGAAAACACCAACTGAACAGTTACAGATCATTGGACAGGGAGGCAATGCTCATATGCATCTTGTTTATAAAAACTGTATCCTTCTTCCCGAACGGGAACTATCCTGGATACTCGTTGCTATCACTCAAACGTAAATGAATGCTACAAAGCGATTCCACAAATTCCGTCATAAATCTCACTTTTCAATAGACGCGCAGCGGACTTATGAGAAAACCACGTATTGCTCGCATGCTTCATCAGTAGCATCCACCGTTACACTAGTAGAGGACCGTGGAATCGACCCAACGACTTCTCCAGTCTCCGCTGTTTTTTGTTCAACTTCATTCCTTCTAGCTGATACGTGAGGATATCTGGCATTTGAAGCTGTCTTTTTTCTCTTAACCAATAGCGTTTTAACTTCCCTTCGCCCCTGCACCCTCTTTTTATCCATTCCAGCAAGACGTCAATTTGAACGTGAACGACTTCCTCAAAGAGGCTGCAATCATGAAGCGTTTACGCCACCGAAACCTGGTTCAATTGCTTGGTAAGTTTGGTGTGTGATTCTTGGTCTAATTACCAAAGTCGAGATGGCTCAGTGGTTAGAGCGCGAATTTACTGACCAGAAGGTCCGTAGTTCGAATCCAACCTCTGCCTCTCGACTTCCCCCGTCTAGGTTTGGGCACCCTGACAGTATTCCAGCCCTCGTGCTCCCTTTTGGTGGCATGGCAATCAGGCACCGAAAGGGTGCTGCAGCTGAATGGTTTATGCAGTCACTGGGCTTTTTTTCCTATTTGATCGCCTTAGTTATGGAAAGCATTCAACTGAACTCTCAGAGTAGTCAACTGTTGTCACCCCAATGCTTCACCGCGTAAATTATGGTCCCAGTTATTACTCACGTTACGATGACTTCCTTCTAGTGAAGCATGTGTTGGCTGCAAGACCCGCTGCTGCCCCTGAGGCACGATCAGCAGCAAGGCCCCACTTTTCTGTTACTTGATATCGCTTGATATCGTAGTCTGCATGAAGATCCAGTAGCTCAGCGTCAGCTCTTGCTTTTGGAACTCAGCTTTTCAGCTGTCGTCGAACACCACAGCGCCATTCAGGTGAGGGCAGTGGCAGTGAAAACTGGTGTATGAAGGAGACGTCCAGCTTATTGCTGTCGGCGCCGTCGAAACATCTTAAACAACGCGAACTTTCACAATGGGACTCCTCAGTGTTCCCGTCGGCAGTTTTGTCCCTGCGATGTCCTTTCATTCACCGTAAGGACCAGTAGTCAAGTGATTTGAGTCGGTCGGGTCAAAGTCCTAGCACTTGTCCAGCACATGTAATCCGTGTAGTCTTTAACTCAAATACGTAATCTGACACCCCGCCAACCGAGTCCTACTGATATCGGTCCACAGTTACATGCTTTTCCATCCCCTTAGCTTAGTTCCGAGAGGGGACTTGCGCAATCAATATAGAGACATTTAACAACCGCCAAAGTAAAGGTTTATTTGACCTCCACTTGGATTGGCTCTCTTCGGAGTGGTTGTACATGAGACCGTTACTGACGAAAAACGCTGTTGTTGACCCTCCAGAGTAGTTGACACTGTTAAGCTCTCTCTTGGAGAGACCACTTCTGGACATTCGGCCGTTACGCGCTGCATAATTTTCTTTCTGTTGGTGATGAAAGTTCGGGTATCAAAGGGAAGTCCGAACGCCAGAATCGTTGTATGTGAGCCACGTAAGACACCGCTTCTATCCACTCACATGTGCTCTGTCGTGGTGTCAACCGTGTTGCGTGTTTGTCGGGATAACCTCCTTTCTGTCTCTCCGAAGCTATCTTCTCTCCTTGAAACAGCCTTGTCTTCGTCATAGTTTAATCGGACTCGTTTCGGTTAAAGCTTATCTGATGTGTGCAGATAATCTATTCCACTTCATGTCCCTAAACACAGTGCATGCAAACACCATCAATTATGCAAGTCTTTCTGTCTCTGGCGTCTTTATGTGTGCTGCTATCGGTTGCATAAGTGAAATGACCTAACTTCTCGGGTAGCGCTCCAGTTTTCATACAGTCGAATCGATCGACCACCTCACAGCACCCTCATGTGTTTAATCCGATGAAGATAACATCCTCTTTGTTCGGCTTTTCTTGGCTTTTGTGAACGCTTAAAGAAATCTTTTCCACTGATTCCTTCTGTCGTTATCATGTTCCAAATGATTAGGGCTCTCTGATCTTAATCGTTAATCCCAGTTCTGTGAAATTTCTTGCTATACTTTCTCATTGTTTCCGCTTCTTTTGTGAACCGGAGCAATTTCCTTGTTGTTGAATGACACTGGTCTATAGTTATGGTTGTCTGATGCATACTCAGACCTGCCCATTTCTCGCCTACCGACTACGACATATCCACAGTGAATCTTTTCTATTGGATGGGTTTGGTCGAGTCGTAATACCCTTCTAGTTGATGAGACCTTTACATCCATAGGGCGTTACCAGGCCACATCATCCTTGTATATCGATTTTCATACGGAATCAACTTTCCTAACCAGTTGACTTCCATCCACATTGATCTGTTACTGGCATGTAGCTCCAAATATGTAGTTGACTTTGTACTAATAAATCCACCATATCAGCTTTTTTACGTAAAGATAGGCAATGTTTTGACAAAAACAAATGTGCACGCAACACCAGATGACACCAAAATCTTCTGTTCACTTCTCAGTCTCCCTCAACGTCATGATTTGACTCCTGTCTGAACAGAGGTGATATTGGTAACACAGTTTTAGCCAGGCAAGTCGTTTATCAGTGGTTTGGTCTGGTTTTCGTTACTCCAAAGTTCCTCGTGTCACTCTGGTTGCTTGTGGGACTACCACCACCCCATACCGCGTTTCTGTCAACCTTTAGGTTTATTTTCTTTGGCACGATTGCTGTTTTGTTTACTGTCTGGTGGTTTGTTGATCCCCGTGTCCAGGTTCGGTCTTACTGCCCCTCTATCCCATTCACACGCACTCACACACATGCACATCCAGACGTTCATGTTTGTTTCTGCAGTCTTCGAGTATGCTAGTTGACTGTTTGTTCCTTGATTGAGAAACGCTACGCAGTTGTTGCTCACCTACTCGTTAAAGTATTGCTTGACGCGGTCACATTGTCCACTGTTAGTGATAAATCGACGCAGGGCTTTGGAGTTTTTCATGACAGGAGAAAGTTGTTCAGACTCATCGGTCGGTTCGTCGTTGGGACATGATGATAATAGTTATCCAAAAACGTTCAATCCGGATATCATCGGGGTCATAAGGGCTCCATTTAAAACGCAGATCAGTCGAGCCTCATCAACATCGACAGCATGACGTCAGCGTTTGACACCGATGCTTCACTACCGTCGAGCCTCTCGCTGGCACTCCAAACACCCATCGACTATCTGCGCCACCCCTAGAATACTGCCATGTTGCGCCAGTCGTAGCTTGCGGACTTTACATTCCAGCTCTCACTGACTTTCCATTAGAGTTCACTGCTTCAATAATTTGCTTCCCGATGAAGAAGCAGGCTACGGGCCTTATTCACCCTTTAACCAACTGTCAGCCTCCATCAACACGACCTACGAAGCACTGATTGTGGTCGTTAATGAATTTCCGTAATTCGTTCCACATTTTGGATTGATCGACTAAGAGCGCACGCGCAGATGCGGTATACTTAAGACGCTGGCAAGTGGAATCTTGTTGCTCTGATCCACCCTCTGCTGCCCTATTAGGAAGCTGTGTATGTATGCATTTGTGGGTATATTCATTTTGGCCTGGCTTTACTGCTGCTGACTCATTGGGGACGCACGTTTACTCTGCTCAGCCGACAGCTTTAGTTTTGTTGTTATTCGGCATGAGTCGACTTTCTGTGGTTCTGATGTCCCTCACCTGGCTGAATCATTGACTGAAAGCGAGAAAGCACGCACATCAATTAACGGACGAGCATCTTTGTATGCTACCCTAGTTTAAGCTGCATCTTTTGTTGTCACGGTATGAATTGTTTGTCATCACGAATACGACTCACTGTGTGCTCTGCCCAGATAGCGATGCACAATCTTCGAAGGAACAGACGCGGTAAATTTGTGTTATTGGCATTGCTAGCCTTTGAAGATGGATTCGTCCCTACTATTTCATATGGACAGCGGCATCATGCGGCTGCAAATCGAGCTCCGGTAGTAAGGTTACGAATGTCCACTGATAGTTATCTGCTGCGTAATTCACTTTGATGATTGTAGACCCAGGTTTTGGCAGCTGTTCCGAGAGAGGATCGAAATAAGTTCTCACGCCTCATTATGACTCTTCCTCTTACAAACTTCTCTTTCTTTGAATTTCAATGACTGCTTGACCGACCCAACCTTCCAAGAAGCCTTCATATGCTTATTCTGGTAATACGAGGTTGCTTGGCCAGTTATTCTTTCACGTCTACAATCTAGCTGACTGAATTCATACCTATAAGGTTTATGCATGTGCAGCGTATTTTCCAATTGTGTCCTACAGGTTGGGTGGTAGTCAAGAAAAGTCCAGAGGGTAAATCTTCACCAATTCGTTCTGGATGCCTGATAAGCATTGTACCACCGTTATCACCAGCAATTCGCTTCCAACGGAGTCATTTGCCAACAGGTATTTGAGCACTTTTCACTAGCGGTGCGGTCAATTCACAGCTAGCACGTAGCGAATTCTTTTCTGCAGTCGCGCAGATCACGCCATGCGATCTAGTTTTGACCGGTTTCCCAGCTAACGAGTTATTAGCAGATCCGTATGAATTGTGGGATATTTTTTGAACAAGCTGTTTACCTGTCACCGTTTCTATGAAACTTTTGGCGTTTCGGTCCTCGACTTTGCACTGTAGTGGAAGCGGATACGTGCAAAAAAGCCACAAATCATACTGTCCAACTTTCTAATAATCATCTGCGGTTGTTGCCAATTGGACTACTCAAGGTAAGAAAGACATTGACTGAGGTCCATAAGCGGAAGCAATTAAGTATCAGACAAATATTACTTTGTCGACTGAGGAGGAGAGAAGTGAGCACTATTGCACGATTACGTATACGGAGACAGGAGATATTGTTACCTATTCTTCAGTCACGCGACTCATCATGTTGTCTGGTGCTCTTAGCTACCGCTTCTCTGGATGTGACGCATTATTGGAGGAAACAATCGCATGGTAGGGTGGCACAGTCACCAGGTCGACAAATGTCGTGCGTCAGAGCTGTGGCCTTATTTGGGTAGTTACCCGCAGCGTGCACTAATGAATTCTGAACATTTGCACCATCAGCCACTCGCTTTTCAGCAACAGCATCTACACTGAACTGATGTATTCATTCTTTGTTCCTGAACTTTGCGCCTTGAGTTAGTATATACGGTCTCTGATTGACAATGTGGATTTGTAATGCGTATTTTACGGATTTATTCTGTCGAACTCACTTTTGTATGTGTAGTTTTGACGACTTGTTGTGCAGGATCACTACAACCGTCTGTTTATCGCACAAAGAGTATCTGCAACAGCGCTGTCTCTTTCCTTGAACAAAATAATCCACTCGCCATTCTTTCTTGTGAAGAGCTACAACAGTCAGTTTCACTATTTTTTCACTACTTAGACGACAGGTTCTTTTCGTATCGTATGACAAGCTGTATTTTACAACAATAAAAAGCACGTCCCGGTGCGTTCAGCATAAGATCCAATTCGTTCAGTATGCGTCAGTCAGTAGTGATCGCCCAGTCGCGGTTCTAAAGGGCGTGTAACAAACTCGGAGTCCGAATCGACAGTTTCCGCCAAAGGGTAACGCTAACTGCATTGGTGTATGCTCTCCGGTTGGTTATCCGCTTTGTGAAGAGCGCATCAGAATCTTCGTTGTCTATGTTGTACATAAGGTGTTTGCTGGAATGACTCCTCGATAGCCCGACGTATGTGCATCACTCCTCGGCGCCGATTAAGGATAAAATTGAGTCTCTTTGGTGATAATGCTTATTTCTATCTTTCATATCAACCAGAGTGAATGAAAGTTCGCTAGACCCTGACTCAGTCATGCAGGTTTTAATTGTCGAAATGATACCCTAATGAGTCTTGTAGATTCTCATTTGCCTGGATAATAATATATACTAATAGTCACTCGCTGTGACGCNAGTTCGCTAGACCCTGACTCAGTCATGCAGGTTTTAATTGTCGAAATGATACCCTAATGAGTCTTGTAGATTCTCATTTGCCTGGATAATAATAAATACTAATAGTCACTCAGCTGTGACGCTCTTCCGGTGCTTGTCTGCCATGCCACTCGAACGAACCATAAGGGACGAGGTACTGCGAGGTTGCTGAAGCCTAGCCGTGAGCCGGGGATGGGTTTGAATCACGAACTTTCCGGTCAGCAAGCTCGAGCCTGACAATTACATGAAACAGTTCATGTATACGAACGACCGACAGTGGTCCTTTTCTCCTTGAACTGATTCCATCTAGTCGGTCACCAGTTAGTAACAGTAGCTGTGTCACATCGAACTTTCTATCTCTTTTAAAAAAGCAGTCCAGAAGGCCGCCCAAGCTCACCAAATGTGTGATGTGCTGGCCTGATGACGCTCACAGAAATGCAGTTTTTTTCGTCACGGTGTCTATTGTGCTTTGTTCTAAGTCCTACCCGCTCAAACAGTCCGTGTACCCCATGCGTACTAAAGGAACTCCAGAAGTATATGAAATTCAGTGCCAAACATGCGGAAGCGAGTGAGAGGTTTTTGTTTCTCGAATCAGTGCATCGATCAAAGCCAGTGCACTATTGAAGAGTTTTGCAGAGAAATCCCCAGAATTTCTGTACTCATTCGTCTTGCTGGCAGTGAATTCGCCACTTTTATCGAAAATATTTGTGTCATGAAACACAAGGTCAGTGCGTCGGCTAGCTTAACATCATGCCAGCACCTGAACGCCTTCGATCCAATCCCTACACCCGCCTGATTGTGGCCGAACGAGTTGAAGCAGAAGAAAAAAGCTTGTGTTCCAATTAGATCCTATGTCACCGTGTCCAAACTTTCCACACAAAATCGTACAAGATTGTGAGTACTCTCACTGGGGCGCAAGATTTCTTTCTGGTCTCAAATCTAGCTAGACTGAACTTCAGATTCAGTTGAAAGTCTATACGATCAACTGTCTAGCCTAATATTTGGAGGCATACGTACAAACAACTCGAATCGACGAGATGCAACATGTTATTGAAAAAGGCACATCTTCGATTCGTAAAGCGTACGCAGAACAACGACCAGATATTGCTTTCTGAATCTCACAAGCACGTTAGTTTTGTCAGAAAAGTGAATAAAACCTTCTCAGACAGCTTGTTCGATCCGAGTGAAGCGAAAGCTGTCATTTCTTAAACAGACTGTCTAGTTAAATTTCACCCGTCGCCATGTGCCGGACTTATGTCGAGTGAGGTTCGCAAAAGACCCTGGATGGACCCCGTTAATGGTGCCTTACTTTGACGTAATACTCAGACGTGTTTTTGATGCTGTCTAAAGATGTGCCATAGTTTTCCTTAACTACCTTAACTCCCACCCATTCCCCGCCACGGGTTGCTTTCGTTGTATACTCAGTCCTGTGCACTATCAGCATAATTTAGCGCTTTATTGGTTCATACTCACATCTGGCTAATCATGCGGTCAATTGTACCGGCGATTTCCCATAGTTCGATACCAAAAACATCAGTGTTTTTGTAGCTATGTCCCTTTCTCTCCGGCTCTCTCCTCGCTGCGCCGGCGATTTCCCATAGTTCGATACCAAAAACATCAGTGTTTTTGTAGCTATGTCCCTTTCTCTCCTCCGGCTCTCTCACTCGCTGCGCGTGAACTGGACCATGTCGTCCAAGTTGTTTATCACCGTCCTAATCAACTTGGCCTAATTTCGTGGGTGTGGGAGGCAGTCAAATCTAGTCGCAAACAACTTGGGTCTCTGTTTATTATTTTGAAGTTTTTTTTCTACCGCAGTGCCCGTGGCTGTTGTCGCTCCAAGTTGCACCAGACTAGTCAACCGCACGGACTGGTCACCGATTTACATGAATAGACTGGTGCACGTGTGCTGACGGCCTGTCGTCCACGAACATGTATCATTAAGCACTCGCCATAAGTATAGCCTATTGGTTGAAATTTTACCTGCTCTCCCTTCCGATTGTTCATTTGGCAAAGTTTTCTCCAACCCAAGGAATTTGATGTTTATCCCTTCCCGTCCATTCAGCTCTTAGTTTGGCACCCGTAACCGTGCTAGTGAATCTTGTATCACTGTACTAATTTACCTTCCTGAGTAGAGGTGTCTCATTTTGGGAGACCATGACCAGGTGTACCGCATACCTTTTATTAGTAAGGTTGCCCCCAGATGTTTTAACTGGTGTTCTTGAGTGCGCGATGGGATGTTTCATTTCGTGTGGATCTGGATCGCCGGCCATTCAATGTTTTCACTGATGAGTACCAGTGAGCGCGACGGCTTTCGACTCGCTAGATAATGGTGAATAGGATGCTTTTGGCACACCTAGCTAGACTAAAATAAATCTACAAAACGAGATAATCTGTCGGGATTAAGCATAACACAGCAGTGAAGGCAATAAGAAGTAACGCTCGACAAATATCCAGTTATTATATATTGTTTCCTCCTAATTTCCAATGTCAGTACCATCGATCCATGTCCCGCCTGTGACATTCCAAAAATGCTACTACGGCCGTGTCCTGAGATGCACAGTTCGCAAGCCAGTATGGAAATAAAGTTTATCGGTAGTGCTGGTGAAATTAAAAGTTTACCGTGACACTCGACTTTTGAACTTGCGTCAGTACCACATGACTTTTCCATTGGGATATCAAATCAGTGATCCGGGGTTCAGAACCGGTCTTCCGTCAGGTTCGCAGGTTCCCAAAGAGAGTTTATCACGGAGAAGAACTTAGTTTTACCAAGTTTCTCTCCTTGACATGAGTACGTCGTTGAGAAGTTAAGTTCCTCGTGTCAGGAGCACTGATCGAAAACATCACTTTCATGGACGGCAATGCGAGTGTGTGAGCAGCCATGTCAATTCACTTCTAAAAGAATATGGTGAAGAGGAGGAACTGGACACGGGAAATGGTTCTAGTGCTTGTGTATCTTCAGACGCTCACTGTGATAATCTGAAAGGAAGATGACAGCAAGAATACCCCTGATATTCGTAAATTGCAGTGTATTTAACTAAGTATTGAGGTGACCACATACATGCATACTTGAATATTGATAGCATCGGCGGTAGCTAAACTTCCCGTAATTCCCCTTATTCTTTGTTGTCACATTTCTCAACTATGTGTGCCCTAAAGAAAGCTCAATCCGTCAAGTGTGTATTCTCATAGTTTTCTCCCGGAGTTCGAACCCAACCGCACCATATCGACCGCTCGTACCTAGGTTTAAGCACCTTGGAAGTATCTTAGTCATCGTGCCTCCTTCGAGTGGCACGGCGGCAAAGTACCGATAGAGTTCAGAAGCTCAATACTAGTTTCTTCACTTGCTGCAATATGGTTTTCTCCTACGGCTACAGGTGTTTGTACGCGCGAACCACCACTCTATCTTATCACTGAATATATGCCAAACGGGAATCTTCTAAACTACCTCCGTGGGCGCAGTCCCGGTGAACTCACACCACCGATTCTACTCTACATGGCTGTCCAGATCGCCTCGGGCATGTCGTACCTGGAATCCAGCAACTTCATCCACAGGTAAGACCAAACTTGTTTTTTTTTACTGGGAACAGGAACGGCAAACCGATTTTTTGGTCTTGAGGATCAAGATACCCTGAACTTTTCTGGGCACCTAGTCAAACCAGCCAAGTTGATATTCGAGCTCCAACGATGACCACTGTTTTGCTTACTCACAACCATAGTTACTTTGGTCTTTGATTTTCTGGCTTGTTGGATGTTGCAGACAGTGAACCGAAAAACTTCCCATCCTATTAATTCTAAAATGGACATTGCTTACGCTCTCCTAAAAGCGAACTACAAGCTACAGATGTGGTCATCCTTGTTTAACCAATCTATCACCATGACAAATACCTAAACTGCTACACTTCTTGAACCTTATCAAGAAGTTCTGCAACGCAGTAGCCAATCATAATAAGCAATAATCCTTGTTAATACTGTCGGGTTTCTTTGTGAGTGATGTGGGTCACCAATTGAGACGTTTAGAATGTGTCCGTGAGTGAGTCCAGTTTTTTGAGGATAAGCAACGTTTTACTTGTCTAAGAACAAGCGTACATGAGCTGAAGTTTTCATACAAAGGTTCAGTACGAGCATATATGGTTAGTATAAAAATAATCACACGAAAATCATGACACTAATATGCTCCTCTATTTTCTTTATGGTTAAATAGTATTAGTTGTCCCAGTCAGGGTCAACTACCAGTCTGTTCTTGATCAGCTTAGGCCCTACGGTTCCTCGCTTTGCTCGGAAGTCATTATTGAAACGCTGAAATCTTAGGACAGAACAAACCATCGGAGAGCCTGTGATACAGGTTGCCCTCCACCAGTACCTGGTTTCTGTTCGGTTCCAAAGTAACCGAGCACGGGGTAGTTTGGACGTTCCTTGCAAAACAACAGCAATACTCTGCGGGCGCTTGGTATGGAGCTTCGAGTGAACAATGCGTCCCTTTGGACTGCAACATCTGCTTCCCCCAAAGTGACTGTTCGAACACCTCGAACCTTAATATTTAATGTTTTAATATTTACTATTTAGTTTATTTGATATTTATTTATTTATTTAATATTTAATGAAGGCAAGTTAGATCCATAATTTGTCTATCGGCTCTCAGAATCACCGTCACAGTACATTTCATTGTTTACTTGATTCTTCGATGCCGACTACCATGCTTTGTGCAGATTCCCAGGTTAGATTCCGACTTACCTTCTTCCCTGCTCTGGTGGATACTTACGAGAATTTGGCTCTCAGTGGCTGAAGTAAACCTCCAAGTGTTTTTGGAACCAAACACTACCAAATATCGGCTGATGCTATGTTGTGATCTTTTTTCTGGTCTCTTAATGATCCATAGCCATTCAGGACCTACTTGGAGCTGATATACCCGCTCTGGGTGTCATTTGGCAGGCATTTACCGGTTTCGTTATCTTCCCATAGAACTGGCCTGCATTTGTCGGCCAGCTTTTTTTCCTGAATTCCAAGTGGCATTTTATCACCAGTCTGTTGCTGACTTCGTTGTCGGCATCACAACAATATCCAGTTGCATCCACCTCGACTGGGATAACATTTCTACTTGTGCCTCTCTATATTTGGTAAAACGAGCGTGTCTACTGTACAACTTAACCAGTCACAGTGACTGCGAACTTTCATAGCGCCGTGCTGACTGTCTACACTGATCACTTCAACTGCCGTCTGTTCTTGGCACGCGCATCCTACATATTGACGGTTTCACCTAACTTATAGGAACTATATTCTCCCAGATAGCGTCTCCTCCACATTCCTCACCAGCTGAACGCATAATAACATCTGCTAGGTTCGACAGCAGGCTTTTGTAGACCAAGACAACACACCCTTTCCTGTCCAAAGCCGTAATGACAACCATCCACCCACCCACATCACTACTGAAACCACCACAGTTTCGCGGTTTCGCACCACTCTTCGGTACACTGGCTGCTCTACCAAGTGGATTATGTCAGCTGATTACGACTGATCGTCTCTTGTAAAGTAGCGTGTTGGAGACCCTAGCTTACTTAGTCTACACTCCGGTACACACGCACTGTTTTGTACCGCGCAATATTGTGTGGACCGAACAAACTTTTGATTGTCTCAACCTGGTTCGTCACTAAACAGCTGGCCAACAACCACGTGTGGAGCAGCTGTTCAGTCACCTCGAGTGATTAATGCAGTTGGTTGTACTGACTCTGCATACTGTGCGTTTCCTGTCTGGAAGGTTTCTTTACTCTTCCAACTAACTGTCTCGTCATTTTGGACTGTCCTGACTTCCGGCAACTCGGTAATCTTCTGCGCCGTGAGCTAACGATTGTGCCTTTATTGATCTTGCAGAGACCTCGCTGCGCGCAACTGCCTCGTCGGTGAACGTCATCTGATAAAAGTTGCAGATTTCGGTCTTGCCCGCTATATGCAGTTGCAGGACACCTACACCGCAAGGAATGGCGCCAAATTTCCCATCAAATGGACTGCCCCAGAGGGTTTGGCCTATTATGTTTTCTCATCCAAGTAGGTTTTTTTTCTTTTTCTTGTTTTGACGCCACCACCTATCTGTTTTTTCCTTCTGTTATATATATATATATATATATATCGGTACATAGCCGCTATGTCACCCTAGGTCGGTATCTTGCCAGTTCCAAAAACCTAGACAGTGGCTATGAAATGTTAGGGAATTTCCTTCGTCAGCTGCTGTCATGTGAACTCCAGCTATCTCTGCCCACTCCCTCAGTGCTACCCGGCGTCTTGTTGTCCACTGGTTTGCTGTCTCGTAAAGGCGTGCTTATTAGTTGAATACATTGTAAACAGTACTCACCTTATTATCAAGTTTTGATGAGATACTCCCCTGGGACCCAGCTGAGTTTCGTTTTCGTGATATTCTACAACCGAATGTTGACGCAAACTCGAGGACTGCGTCTACCTGATGATCCCCAAGAATGGCGAAACCGGTCGTGGGATGCCGAAGAGTTTAACAGCAACCGTATGAGTAGTAGTGCATTTCTTCCATACAGTACTCACCTCTATCATCGAGCCTGAAACAAAATGCCAGTTAACGCGAGTACTTGGTGTAACCAACTTTTGTCGTCGTTCCTTCTTACAGCTGTACGCAGGATAATAGCCCCAATCACTATCCTTTTCCGCCTCTCGTTGCAACTTCCCGAGATTCCTGGAAAAGTGTCTGTTGTACACAAACCGTGGCAACCATTTGGTGCACGGATTTACCCGTGAAGTAGGTTGTTTTTTAGTTGCTAACGCGAGTATGCACGAAGCATATCACCATCTACCTTAAAGATTGTATTGTACAGTTACCTACGTAACAGGCTGTCACAGCGCAGAAGGATTCACTTCCAGTTTTTATCTCCACGTTTGTGCTCATTCATCGATTCGTTATCGGGGGACCATTATCCGTCTTTCACTTCAAACACTTCCTCCGACAGGTTAATTTGGACTTTGCCTCATAAGCTTTTCTGTGGTCGCTGCGTTCTGCAGTGCAGGCTCATCGCGTGAGCTTGTTTTTTGCTATCTCAAAGTATTTGCTGTGACAAACGGACCAGCTAACAAGGAAATCATGTAAGCTTCACAGTCCAATCCAAAAATCGGAAAGGAGATGCGCCTGCTTCATTGTGAATCTGTATTGTTCATTCGTATCTCCAGCATGATACACTATGAACCGATGTCTGTGAAGCATTATTTGTCATTACTATAAGCGGCGTGCAGAGCGTTCAGGAAAGTGCGCTGATTTGCTTTGAATTACTCGGTTTTTATGTTTCTGAAGCTACCGATTATATAGGACAAATCAGTGAATAGTCCCTTTGTGATTGGCAATTTGTGAGAGGCAATTGAGTTGGATTGTCAAACTTGCTGTTTTGGAACGTTTCGGTCGGAAGCTTTGTAGTATTTGTGAAGTGATCTCTCACTGTACACTTCATTACTAACAGCTATTCGCCGCACGTAGTCGATCCACCTTGGATCGCTTGACCCCTTTCCTTAATTGAACAAATTTGCTTTTAGCCAAGCTTAAGAATGAATAGTCTTGATTCGTCGGTCCAGTTCCTACAACCATGCTTGTCGTGGGAATAACGGCTCTTCTCTGAGGAAACATTGTAAATATGCAGGTGGTTGCAACTCGGGAGTTTTCGTTGGTATCCCGACAAATTCGATACTCTGTAGGTGTCGTCATCCCGATGTTCGTGTTGTTTGTTGCTGCGTAACACTCGTTTTGTTCCGTCATGGTCGCGACAGGTTTCTGATATCGTAATAGACAGTATATCTGACTTTCTGCATTCATGTCTACACATCCCTCACCTAGCATCAATGCGTACTTTTCAGAATCTCACCACTTATTTGATATATGACCTTCGCATTTATGCGATTCCGATGAAGTTCAGTGGATGACTCATAACTGATGTAAGATCGGGCTACGGTTGTGGCACGTAACTGTTCCCATTGACGAGCTTGCTGTAACTTCCTAGGCGGGCTGCCTAACTAACGTATCTGTTGTTGTATTGGGCGAGGTCGCTTAGTTTCTCTGATGGCGTGCTTCCCTAAAATGATTATCATATGTGCTCATTACAGTGGTTTTGGCAGAGGTATATGTTGGTCTTTTCCCCATAGCCGTGACGATTTTCACATTAAGCTCTCACTCCTCCCCTTTCCTTTACCTTTTACTAGTCTTCCTCCATGACCGTGTGATAGCTGAACGCCAGTTTCCACTACTGGCATATTGTTATCCATGATAATCATGGCCTATTGTCCGAAGTGTTCTTATGCACAACATCCTGCAAATCGAATCTGGTTCTTGAACAGCACCCTGCTGTTTCACCCTGTACTCACATCTAGTTCTCGTATTATCTCGGATGAGCTTGTTTGGTAAAATTTCGAGACAACCCAATAGACTTCCTGCTGTACCTTCTGTAACTGGATCACGGTTTTGATTTCCCCGCTTTTCCCACAGGTCAGACGTTTGGGCTTTCGGAGTGGTGCTGTGGGAATTGGCCACTTATGGCTTGTCTCCTTATCCAGGCGTTGAACTGCACGATGTCTATCATTTGCTCGAGAAAGGATATCGCATGGAAAGACCACATGGCTGCCCTGAAGCCGTCTACTCAATTATGCTGCGTTGTGAGTGATTTGTATTCCAAACTCGTTCGATTTCTCTTGTTCAGCTCAGCTGTGGTTTCCTCACATTGCACTTCTCTTTCCGTCAGTGAGAACACCCAAACATCCCGATCATGATGGACAAAATTCTGTTTGCCCCATGTCTTCAGTTATTCTTTGGACGTTGGTGTACATCTTCCAAAGGGGATGCTGATTACACACACGCTTCGCACACTTAACATGTGATCTATCTCACATCCTTTTACGTCGTCCAAGCACTTGATAGGATTTCATTTAGACTGGAGAAGAATAAAAGTATGCCTAGTACAAACAACCTCAACAAAGGGAATGGATTCCGCCATTTCACGCTTACTAAGAGGTTGCTTTTCTGATCTGTAAAGATCAGAGCTTTGTTTATAATTCACGCGCTACTTGTTTTCCGTTGCATAGTGCAAATATTCCCTCTAGGAAAATCGACGGAAAGTTCCATGAGAAGAATAGTCAGGATTTTGACGTCAGATTCGCGACCCTAATGACACCAGGTACTGTACTAAGTCTTTTGACCACCCATAGGGTTATCGTCTTCGATGCATTCGTGGCCTTCAGGATATTTACTTCCTGTTTAAGATGGAAAGTTCGAGTCTGACGCGACCCGAATGAGACTGGTCGGTTGGGTCTCCTCTTTTGTCAGCTGATAGTCAGCGGAAAAGCGATCTCTCCGATCTTCCAGGTAACACTTCGGCACCGTAGTCGACCAAGTTAATACCATATCACGTGAGATCCGGGCATTCTTATCCCTCTCCAGCTGAAATCGATTCAAATGTACGTGTTCATGTTTTATTAGCCTAGATCATCAATGGTATCTGATATTGCAGTTTGCGTGTGTGAACCGACAACTGTGTACCACCATCGGGATCCGACTTTTTTCCTTACGGATCGGTACAAGCTTTCTTTTTTTCTGATCTGCGGCTAATGTAAACATAATGTCTGTCTGTCGCACACACCTTACGTTTGTTGTCTTGCTCCCCTGTTAGGTTGGGAATGGGACGCCAGCTTACGACCTTCATTCTTTGAAGTGCACGCTGAATTGGAACGAATGTATGCGACAATGAATATAGAAGCTGGTGAGTTGCGGAATATTCATTTAGTCCGGTTTGTGAATTCCAACACACATTTCATGACCATTTGGTTCAATTCCGTTTTGAAAGAGAGAGAGTCGAGCGATAACTTGTCGCGGAAAGCAACCGGATATTGTTAACATGTCGAATTATGGGTAATTTGCATGTTTTCAATGGTCTTTGGTACGTTTGCCAAGTGTGGTAATTAGTTTACAAACGTTCCGTTGACAACAGCGGGGACCTCACCACCGCGTACTGACAATGTCTGTTCTCTTGATGATGCAGCTCTTGCCTTCTTATTTTCAAACTCGCTGGATAGCTGAACGGATGGTAGTAACGTATTCCAACGCATATTTCAAACGGCATTGCATTCGACTCACACTAATTCGCATCAAGGGACCTGCTTTGCGATAGTTGTTTCTGTCGTTTCGTAATAATGGAACCTTTCCGTACCAGTGACTTTATGGATAGCTGAACCGTACTATTCCAAACGATGCATTCATAATGCAGCCGCGAGATTTAAACATTCGACCTTATGGACAGAGAAGAGCAGCGGATTCACGCTGTTGCTCGTGTTGAGTGATATTCAGTCCACGCCAGCAATCAGATACCTTCCCGTCGCAACTGGCTCTTTCGCTAAGTCATCCTGAAGCTGTTATCATCTGCGTGGTTCCTTACACAATAATGAGCACTGCCAGAAACACCATACTACGTTAGACTTAGCCCGTGTCGTGTTTTGTTGTGTTGGTGGCTATGTGAACCAATCATTCTAAATGGTAACTAAATATTTCTGTTACATATTTTAACATGTGGTTAACTCACGTTGATAGTCATGGCCGTTTTGAGATGGAACACACACTGAGAATTAAATACAGTCAATTTTCGAGAACTATTAATTGCAATTGTTACGGGAAACAAAACCACCTATGAATGCGTGGGTTACACAGTCCCCAACGTCTCCAACTGATATATATATATATATATATATATATAGTAGAATCCGAGATGGGTTTTGTCCTGCGAGAGGCGCGCATTTTCACCCTCCGGCAGGTTAG